TCTGACAGCGACCATAACATGATCTGGCTCAGCTTCCAAATTAAAATGGTCACTGAAATCGCCTCTACTATGCCGGTAGCAACCCATAAGATGAACCGGAATTGCTTTCAGCAGTTCATTCGTTTCTCCTATTGGGATGTATTTTCCTCTATACCAGTGTGTACACCGCTGTGGAGCAGTTCTATAAACAAATCCATCACGCTATAGTCATCCTTGCTCCACAATGTATTCATACCCCTCATGTCTCCAAAGATTCCTTCGAGCACTTAATCAGCAAGAAAACCAAAAAATTAGCTGCAAGATACAGAAAGACACATGACCCAGGAAATTACCACCAGAGTAAACACGCGCAATTAACACGACGAAAAGATGAAGAACATACAGCCCTACGGACAAGCTGCAAAGCTAGGGAGCTTGTCAAAATACTGCATCGTACAACCAGTGACCGCTCTCCTCTGATTACCGAAATTGTTGATGGTGAGGGTCACTTACTCCATGACCCAGCTGAAATCTGTGAAGTATTCAGCGACTTCTTTCTCACTACCATGAGTCGCGAAGCTGACCCGGTGCCTGTGTGCACAGCGCTCACAGAAACAAACCTCTTAAGCAGAGTCGATATTTCGCTCAACGCTATCCGTCAAGTTATTAAATTAATCAGGCCATCTTCAGCTGGGATCTGGTAGCATTTCACCAACCATCATTAAACTAGGAGGACCTGATATACCATTGTTACTGATGAGCATGTTCACTCTATCGCTGGAATCTAGCCACTTTCCAGATCAATGGGAAATGTCATCTATTATGCATCGGCCTAAAGGAGGTCCTAAACAAACGATTGATAACTACCGACCAATCCACCACACTCCGATAATCGCTCGGCTATTTGAAAAGCTGGTCAGAATGGAGATGATGAATTTTGTTGTTTCTATTGGCCTGATCAATAATTCGCAGCATGGTTTTCTCACTAAACGATCGTACACCACCTGTCAACTGCATTACCTTGATCACATTTCAGAATCAATCGATTCCGGCTATACAGTAGTAATCTTGTTTCTTGACATACATCCAGCGTTCGACCGAGTACCGCACAAGCGACTGCTACAAAGTTGGAGAACATTGGGATCCGGGACCCATTACTAGGTTGGCTATCATCATACCTGAATGATCGTCATCAGGTAGTCAGTTAAGGTGATTATCGCTCTTCCCCACGCTCAATCATCAGTGGAGTCATTCAACGGAGCGTGCTCGGTCCTTTACTCTTTTTGCTCTACATCAATGACATCACCACATCTATAAAACATGGTACATCTATTTTATTTACTGACGATATCAAACTAATCTATAAGTTGCGGCGTGACGAGGTTCACAGGACATTACTGCTCATCCAAGATGATTTACATTCCCTTTAGTCATGGTGCTGCACATGGGTGATGAACCTCTCGGTTAAGAAACCAAGCATCATGACTTACGGTTGTTGCATCCCCGAAGGATTTAGCACCCTAAACAATGAATGCGTCCATACGCAGTAGTCCACGCGAGATCTTGGCATTAGGTACTCGTCTAGCTTCAATTTCTCCGAACAGACCCAATACCAATTACCACGTGCCAGACAGTCTATGTACAATATATCAAAGAAAATGCACACAGATCGTGCTAGAGTTGAGCTTGTCAAGCTACTCACTCGCCCCATCCTCGAATACTGTAGCATAATATACGGAAATATGAGAAAGAGTGACGGAATTGCTGTCGAACACCTGCAGAGGTCATTTAGTAACCATCTGATTGTAAACACTCTGTTATGAGTTATCGAGACTGTTGCAATGAAGTTCTTCTTGAACCACTTTGGATTCGACGAATGAAGCACTACTTGTTGTTGCTTTTCAACATGATACACAAAAAGATCTATTGCAACCTGCCTACACTGAAGTTGCAACATTGTTCAACTCGAGCGCTTCGCAACAAAAATTGCACGTTGAATATACCGAAGGCTAGAACGAACGTCTGCTCTAATTTCTTCCTGGTCAGATACAGCTATCTGTGGAATAAACTACCGATAACACTCAGTTCATGTGACAATGTGGCAACATTTAGTAGCAGACTCGACAATCATCTTGATCTAACTACCCTAAGCTCTATATTCACATGGGAAATATCCCTCGATGAGCTATTCCAAGAAACGCCCAAAAGCATATAAACACCAAAGTTTCATAACTAGGTTTTGGCCTCAAGCATCCGCCAGAATGTTAATACATGAAACGCATATCGCAAAACTCCACCTATGCATGTCACCCATGCAAGAGCATGGATTCTTCTGTACAACTTGATCTGTGCCGCTATAGATACAGTTTCTCTCATCAAGAGGAATATACCTATTATTATTATTATTATTACTATTTCACTGGAACAACTGAAATGTAGTATTGTCAACGAATGTCGCGCCATCAACAGGGAAACTTTGCGAAAAGTTATAGCCTATTTCCTCAGGTGATTTCCGCACTGCAAGCTGAACGCCGGCGGACACGTTGAAGCATTTTCTTCGTTGACGGACAAATCACCGTTTTATGCTTTGTATCTCAATATACCTATTCACCGTTATCGCTGATTTCCGGACCAAATGGGTGCAATGGCACATGGTGTCAAAGGTGCGTCGGGACAGAATGCATTCAACGAGCAAAGCTGGTTTGACAGCGCTTAGACTGACCACTTCCATGCAACTTGGTTCACAATGCCAATACTTGTTTTTCATGGTTATGCCTAAGGAATACGGGGAGTATGTGAACGAGATGGTGATGTGAGAATAGGCTACGCGGTTCCGTATTTTTATCCGGTTCATCGGCGTACAGACTCCGGCGTGGAATGAGTGCTTCTAAACAATAACATAGCGGTCACGTAAAGGAGAAAGAAAGATGGTCCAACGAGTTTTCAATGAGCATACAGATCATGAGAGCATAGGTTATCGATCCTTTTGCATGTTAAAATCGGAGTTTGCAGCAATATGTGTCAGAAAAGCTACCACAGGGAAAACTGCTTTGTGTGGACAGTATGCGTGAGAACCAACCTGCGTGTGCTGTGGTCCCACGATTTGCCAATCACTTTTCTGAGCCAATGAGCTTCGCGCTTTGTGGAATACGTGAATTTCAGTATCCGCGAGGATTAGATACTGTCTAGAAATGCAGCTTCTCAGTTCCATGCTAATGGAATAGTGCCTCAACAGTGAATATGTTGGAATGAACTTTCAAGACTGTGACAGGAGAATAGGCTATGCGGCAGCGAGTAGTCTGTAGGCGGCATAGCTTTTCAAGACTCCTTTCACAAAACAGTACATTTCATATTCACAAGGCCTAGTCGTAAGGAATGCCTGTTTTTCTAAAGTGGGTTGTTGGAAGCTAACTTTCCGTCTACAAGAGCGTTGTCAATAACCCTTTTATAGAAGCAAATGTTGGTAGCTCAGGTTGTTCAGTTGGTTTTCTGATTGTTCGTTGAGCTCCGCAGGTTGACTGCAAACGTTTCGTCACCACTCGAGGTGACATCGTCAGTGCGCGTGTATTTAGTCGAGTGGCGCGCACGAAGCGTCAGGGAGTGTGAGTGATCGATCTCCTAGCCGCTAGTCTGAGTTTGGATTGTTCGACGAGCACAGGACCATAGAAATCGATCTCTGATTGTCACCTCGTAGTGTACGCGCGTGTGACTCTTCGCTTGTCGTCGTCGTTTGATGCAGTAGTCCAGCGCTCTGTTCCGTTAGATTTCTTCTACTAATTCGGGGATCTTTCATCCGTAGTATTGTACATATAGCATCTATTTCAACGTGTCGGTTTATTGAACTGTCAGTAGAGTACCATGTTTCCAAGATTTCCCTAGCTTGCCTCGAATTTCCACGGGCTAGGATCTTAACGTTCTCTACATCGAAGTGGTGGCCTTCTTGGTCTTCATGCATGGAAACTAATGAATGCGGGTCGTGTCTCCGTATGGCCATTCTGTGTTCGTTGATCCGTGTTGATATTTTCCTTCCAGTTTGCCCGATGTAGTGTCTGTCACACTCTTTGCAGTTAATTTTGTAGATGACATCATTCTGACTGCCTTGTTTAACTTTGTCCTTCGGTCTTGAAAGCAATCTCCGCAAAGTACATGTTGGTTTGTGGGCTACCAAGATTCTATGTGGTCGTAGCAATCTTGACGTTAGTTAAGACTAGTTCTTGATGTTAGGAAGCGCTACCCGTTTAGCTATGTTTTCCTGCTGTTGTTGCTGCACCCTTTTCTTTAGGCTTCTTCTGATGAAGTTTCTTGGATACCCGTTGTTTTGCAATACCCGATATAGGTGGTTCTCTTCCTTCTTCCTCAATTCCGTCGTGCTGCAGTGTGTTTCGGCCCTTATGAAAAGGCTTTGAATGCAGCTTTTCTTGTGGTTCAGTGGATGGTTGCTGTGGTAGTTTAATATTTGGTCTGTGTGGGTTTTCTTTCGATATACACATGTCTGAAGTGTTCCCAGTTAAGGGGTCTTTGCGTCTCCACAGCCCATCTTCTAACTGCTTGTTGGTTTGCTACATGCTCAAAATATGCAAAATGATAACCTCTAGTAATTGTTAATGGAACATCAATTCTAGCGTTCCTAAGATGCTTCAGGTTGTTGGCCACCATACAAGAAGTCGCGCAATCAACTGAATATAGCCGCAATAACTTTCCGGTAAGCTTGTCCCGTGGCAATGTATTTCGGTTGAAGGTGCATGCAAAAATATATTGTTCGCCCTGATGCAGACAGATTCCATACCACACTTCAGTTTGCAAAAGCATGTCAAACCGCGCCTTTTTTCTTATCAGTGCACGGTTTCACTTGATAGCTTTAGACACGAACAGACCACGGTATAAAAAGAAAAGAATGTTAGACAACAAATTGGCTATGTGTCATGGGCATTTGCAAACCAGTAGCTCTGTCACGTTGAATAGTAAGGGTCACATGGCACAACTAGACTGAGATTTTTTCATTGCCCTGCTGACCATTCCAGCCGCACCGATCATGTCCCAACACCGGAATGTACATGGGCCCTAGGAATCTTCACCCGAGCAGTGCGTTCACTGCAATTGTGCACGAAGAGACAGAATATGACGGTTATTTAGACGAACTTGACGAACCCGCAAGATCCCGTCGTTTCACATGATTTTATTCCAATGTCTGTGTACCTCAAAATTGCGTTATTGGAATCAAAATACACTAAATACCTCAATGTGCTGCTGCTAAGCAACTAGTGAGCGCTATAGTGTAGAGCCAAATGACCAGATGATTACACAAAATAGCTGCTTTCCTTGGAAGCCAATGTCAAATGCAATGATTCTCAACAATCCTCTGCTTCGTGCTTAGAGCCAAAGCTGAGCTCCCATAGATCCATAAGCAAGTAACAAGCGCTGTCGCAAAAATACAAGTGGAAATGTGGAAGATGATCTTAATCAAGTGGATTTACAGTGGATAAATTTGGTGTAAAGGGTTTCGCACACTTCCTCGCTTACCTGTACATCCAATGGAAAATCATTCAACTCCAACGTCTCCAGAAATACACCTTTAATCCGTCTTCGCTCCACCAGGTACATTTCCCCTGCTTCATTCTTCTGCGCTACCAACCATTGGGTCTCTTTAGTCTCACTCAAGATGTTGTCTATGTAGATCTGGGGGTTCCAGAATTGTTCTAGTTCTGTTACGGTGGGCTCCTGCAATTGTACGGTATGAATACAATTAATATTATTGTTAATCGCTGTTTTATGTCTTTAAATAAATCTTTTGCATGTACAGTGGAAACATTTCGTGTGCTAGCTTTAGGTGTTTACACAACTTATCCCCGGGCAGACCGAGTACATGGAAGAGTGGAACCCGGTGGGTTTCGAAAGCGTCACTTACAAGTCACTGTTCCACCACAAGTGTGATACAGTAGTACCGTTTACGGATCGGAAATTTTGATGCTGACTAGCATGAACCGGTGTATGGGAGAAGATTTAATTTTTTCTAATAACAGATCCTAAAAATCTGGAACCGCACCGAATAACGAAGACTCAAGTTTAAATGGAAACAGACAGGCAACCGTGCTACAAGACCATCTCCTTATGACGACCAGCCAAATACATCCCCAACATTTTCTCTCATGAATCTCTTCATGGCGACCACCTGTCCAAGGTGATCACCTTTTGTCGTCCTTTGAGTGGTTACCTTAGACAGGTTTGACAGTAATACGCATTTGCTCCTGCAGCTGCATTTTTAGAAAGTTACCCGTTCCCACCAGATCGTCTTCATACCCTCCTTTCAAATTTGTTTTACAAAAGGCCGCCAATTTTCTTAAGCACTGCACGGGAGACAGTAACTTGCTAACAATTGTGTTATTGAACATCTCTCCTTATACCATGACTGTGTGTCACTGAGCTCACTGACTTTGGAAGTGTAAAAGTCGATGGGTTACGCTAATGGGGACTTCATGTGGCCGGAACTATTCAGTCATTGTATCTAGCCATGTCGATTCTTGTAACAGGCTTGCACATACGGACGGTATGTTGACATATTCTACATTGCGGATAGCAACATGTGTACGGAGGAACTAGTAAAACACTTCAGTTCAGCACACAATAACATAAAGTTCACTCTGGAACCTAAGCGCAACAACTCAATGTCGTTCTTAGATGTCCAGATAAGCCGAAATTCTGATGGCTCGGTACAGGGCAGTGTCTATCGAAAGTCAACGTGTAATGCGCAATATAATCAACTTGCCAGTTTTAGTCCACTCAGTTAGAAAGGAAAACTCGTTCGAAGTTTAACCGAAAGAGCAAGAAAAATATGTAACGATAACACCCACCAGGAAGAGTAAAACTTTATGCGGAACCGATTCTAGAGAAACGGCGAACCAGAGAATTTGGTTCGGAGACAAATGGAGCCTCGAGAAACGAAGGCAAAATTAGTTTCAGTGGAAAAAAATCGATCTACCGTCGCTATCATTCAAAGAGGACAGGATAGCGGAATCCACAACTAGAAAACTTTCGGAGGCCATCAGCTTAAAGCTAAGCTTTAGTGCAGGACCAATACTGAATCAGTAACTTTAGGATAGTATCCCAAGGTCAAGTACTTCATAATATGTATACTCATTCTCTTCTTCTTGTCGTGTAAGATACATCGGAAAGACCACCAGGAGACCGTGGGAGAGAGCAGAGAAATATTGGCCAGCTTGGCTGTATAACGGGGTGACTAAAGCAGTGGCAAGCGCAGTGTCTGCGCAATTGGTTGATTCGAATCACCAACTCAAAGCGGGCGAAGCGTTCCCTCCTATCTACCACGTACCCACATGTCACACACCATCAGTTGGATGTCACCTTGTAGCAGCGGCCGAAGCGATCGCCATTCCCCTCCAAAACCCGGACCAACATGCACATAAAATATTTGTCCGGGCCCTAACTCCACCCTACCCTCCTGTAGCCCTGACACACACACACACACACACACACACACACACCACTGATCGCTGTGGGAGTAATCAACTAGCTTGGTCACGCAAACCGTTTTAACCTCTGAACTTGTACCCTTATCTGTTGTTTACGTTTATGTCATTAATTCGTGATGTATTAGCCTGATTTGATTTGTTCTACCTACCGGAATAATCTTCAATAACCTCAATAACCTCAAGCTGATAATCCAACACTCCCGATTAGACTGTAGAAAATATTTTTACTCTCTTAGAATCTGTTCACAATGGAATGACTTGCCAACGCATGTGGTAAACGCTCCGAACATTACAGCCTTCAAACAATTGTTAGACATTCATCTGAGTGACAAACAACACATTGTGGTGTAATGTACCAGGTTTAGACTATTGGCATTTCAGTTCCATGTCGGAATCTAATGATTTGTACTTATTTTGCATTTACCATCCTATGGGTCTTGTAAAGCCAATGCTTTTTATCCCATCATACACTATTGAACTATTGAACTATTCTATTACATTTCCACTTTGCTTACGGTAATTGTGCTTATCTTCGTTAACTTGCGTTTGTAGCAATTTCGGAGTCACTTCTGGACATTTTTTAGTTACCGCAGATTCGTTGCTAACCATCATACTTCATATGCTAATTTAGCGAAGAGATATGTCTGCGTAGCCGCATTCTTTAACAGATACATTTTATTTGATGATGTCATTTCAAGTGATTGGCTGTTGTTTGACATCCGCGGTGCGGCTGCGCTTGATGTGTAGGTTGAAAAGGTGTCTCCTGTCCATTACCCACTACCTCGTCTATACTGTCTCCAGGAGATAGTTGGTCGTTGCTGGAGGGGACGGGATGCACGGTTCTTGTGGTCGTGTTATCCTCGAAGAGTGGTTCCATGCACTCAGTGTGGAGCGGACTACGGTCCAGCCACCACATTGTGTGCGCCTGATTCCCCAAATGCAGCGTGCTTGTGTTTGCCTGTGAAGCAGTGTGGGCCGGCTCCGTTGATGAAACGTGGCTCCCATCCACATGCCTCTCGCTCTTATTCCTTCAGGTTTACACTGGATATTGTGTGTGTGGTTGGAGCTGTGGGTGGTGCAGCGCAAGTCACCCATGGTCCCTCTGTAGGCGCAGGCGTCCTGTGTCTGGCCACAGTGACAGGCAAATCCGAAACCGGATGCCGCCAACCATTAGCCTGATGATGAACCACTGAAAACGAGCTTCTTCGCCAACATTTGTTCTGATGACTACTTAATTTCATTATCTAACCCTGTCCGTGGCGTGTGTGCATAAAGCAAATTCATGAATTGATTTGGAGCTTGGCGTGAAGTGTATCTACTCAGCCACAATACCAACCTAAGAGTATAACAGCTTAAACTTGACGCGCATTACACACGACTTAATCACTGGGCTAGCAAGTACTTCGAGATCTCGAAGTTGCTTACGGAGTTCTGCGAAGCAGACCCCTGAAATTACACTATGAATGTTGCCTAGGTAAGTAACGAAAGGTCTGAAAAGTAATCAGGTAGTTCGGATAACGACGAAAAACCCACGTCCATACCCAAAGCCAGGGATATTTTCAAATGTGGTACAGTTTGCTCATTCATCTAAATCACGGGGCACCAAAGTTTTTACACGGACGGCCGGATAACTAGAAAATAGGCTGGCGCGGGCCGGATAACCAATCAAATGGTTGCCGTGGGCCGCATAATCATTCTGCACAATAGTTGCAGACCAGAAAGTCATATCCGAGAAATTAGACAAAGAAAACACGACAATCTGCGTGAGTTTTTCTTTTCTTAATAGCCATGGTGAAGACTGAAATACACAGAAATGAGCGAAAATATGCTGAATAACAAAAATTATAAAAATCCTTTTGAAACACCGGAAAAACAAAGGACATCTGGTTATTGTTGGAACTACAACACAACAAGGCTACAGGTAAAGTTCATGGGTACTTTCGGTAATTGAATATATCAAAGGACGTTTTGCTATATACGTGGTTGCAGGCACCCGGTTTCGGATTTGCATGTCACTGTGGCCAGCCACAGGACGTCTGCCCCTACAAAGAGACCGCGGATGGCTTCCGCTGCACCACCCACAGCTCCAATCACACACCACATATCCAGTGTAAACCTGAAGGACTAAGACCGGAGGCATGTAGATGGGAGCCACGCTTCATCAACGGAGCAGGCCCACACTCCTTTACAGGCAAACACAAGCACGCTGTATTTGGGAATCAAGCGCACACAAGGCGGTGGCTGGACCGTAGTCCGCTCCATACTGACTGCATGGAACGACTCTTCGAGCCTAGTACAGCCACAAGGACTGTACACTCCGTCCCATCCAGCAAAGATCAATTGTCTCCGAGAGGTAGTATGGATGAGGTAATGGGTAAAACACAGGTAGACACCTGATCAACCTACACATCAAGTGCAGACACTCCGGAGATATCAAGCAACAGCCGATCACTTGAAAACACGATAGCAAATAAAATAAAACGTGTAATGCATATAGATATACTGACATACCTCGTCAATAAATGAGCATTTGAAATAAATTGGTTATCAGCAAATCCGCGATAAGTTCAAAACGTCAGGAAATATATTGTAAGAAAGTGCCACAAACGCGGAAATGTTATCAAAGTTAACTAAATTAGTGTACAAGATCTGCTCAAGTTTATAGAAGATAGTTCAGTTAGACATTATGAGATAAAAAGGCATTTGAACTATATAGCAAACCCGGCAACTGAACTAAAGAGACTCAACATGCAAGCCCGTCGTTAGTAAATGGAATGCAGCGTACCTACAGAAGCTGCGCCCGTTCTGTCCACGTTCTCTGCAGGACTCGTCGTCGTTTCGGTGTTGGATCCGAGTGGCCTCGCTCGTGGCTCACTAGGCGTGCCTGACTCGCACTCGCGACCGCATGTGCTACAGCATCATGCGCTTGAGGTCGATGGAGTACAACCCATCGGCACCTGTAGCTTTCGCAATTGCCGCTTCATCTCTGCACGTGCAAGGGATTTCTCTTGCACCTGGGCAACGGTCTTCGTGATCAGATCACGCCATACACGCCGACCAACTGCCTTCGATTCCCATGACCTGCAATTAAGATAAGAACGTGATAGGCCCATCTTGATCATGTCCTGGTAACGAAGTTTCGCTTTCCCCACATGCCGCTTCCCCAAACTCAGCTGACCATTTAATGGTTGGTTCGGTAACCGCGTAGAATCCATACGCCACTCATGACCG